TGGGGTCGAGGAAGGGGACACAAAAGCTTCCAGGGGACAGGGAGGGCGGTCACAGGGACGTGGGGGACAGGGTCCTTGGGGGGGGGATATGACGAGCAGGGGACACCGCGGGGTGGTGGCACAGGGGAACGCGAGGCGGTTCCTGCCCTAAACCCCAGCCCGGTGTCCCCCCAGGGCAGGAGCTGCGGCGGGTGAAGCCCCCCCGGCGCTCGGTGTCCTTCTTCAGCCGGGGAGGGGCCGGGGGCGGCTCCTACAGCCCCGTGGCGGGGGGCACGGGGGGCACCGGCTCCGAGCAGGGCTGAGCCCCCCTGAGCCCCCCAACCCCTCCCAGCTCCCACTGGGAGCCCCCGGGATTTCCCCCTCTTTGTACTCACACCCCCAATAAACTGCACTGCCCCCCCAACCCTCTCCCCAGGATGGGTTTGATGGAATTTGGGGCCTTCTGGGGTAAATTTGGGTCGATTTGGGGCTAATCCAGAGCAGTTGGAGGCAGTTTGGTACCAGTTTGGGGATGATCCAGGGTGGTTTGGGGCGGATCAAAGCTGATTCAGGGTGGTTTGTGACTTTTTTGGGGCTAATTCGTGGCAGTTTTGAACTAGTTTGGGATATTTGGGGCTGATTTTGGATAATGCAGGGCATTTTCCAGCATGTTCCTGGAGGCCTGAAGCCACTTTAGTGGAGTTGGGACATTTTGGGGCCAGTTTGGGGGGTTTGGAGCCTCTTCCAAGCAGCTTTTGGGGCCTGTTCAGGGGGGTTTGGGACAAGCTGATGCAGTTTGGGGCCAGTTTTAGGAGTTTTGGGGCCAATTTTGGGGGGTTTGTAGCCAAATGGCGGCACCACATGATAGCAGCCATTTCGGGCTGGGGCCTCAGGGCCACGTGTGTGTCACACATGTCACACGTGTCACACGTGTCCCCTCTGTCAGGGGCTCCGAGACCTTTGGGACAAATTCCCCCATTTTTGGGCCAAGTCCTGCTGATTTTGGGGCATCGCTCGTTGTCCATTTGGGACCTTCACAAACCCACCCCAAATCCCCCTATTTCACTATTTAACCCCATTTCCCTCCCCTTCCCCACCCAGCAGGGCTGCGTTTATCCAGAATATCACATTTTCTACCCATAAAACCCACACGCCTCCACTCTGCGGCAAAAGTGCCTCAGTCCCGAATAATTTCATTTTCTTAAGGTGCTCTGCAGAAATCAAATGATTATTTAAGGCAGAACGTGTGAGAGTTGGGTGCTGTGGGAAGGGTCGGTGTCACCGGGGCCCTAAAGACACAGAGGAACTGCTCTGAAATCCAACATTTACAGATGAAAAACATGAAGAAAATATCAATGTTTGATAGGATAAAGAAATGTTTTGGAATCAATGTTCCTGTGGGGAGGGGCCATTTCGGAGGGAGCGGGTTATGGCCGAATAAAAGGAGATTTTCTGAGGGAAATAAGACATTTCTGAGGCAAAACTTGCCATTTCAGAGGCAAATTGGGAACTTTCTGAGGGAAATGAAGCCTTTTTGATACAAATTGGACATTCCTGAGGGAAGTAAGACATTTTCGAGGCAAACAGGTTATTTCTGAGGCAAATCGGACACTTCTTGAGGGAAATCAAACATTTTTTGAGACAAGCCAGACGTCTCAGAGGGCAATGACGAGGTAAAACCAGACGTTTCTGAGGGAAATGGGTCATTTTCTGACGGAATTCAGCCATTTC